GCAGCCCCGGCGAGTGGTGACCAGCGGGTGTTTGTGGGGGGATGCCTCAGAACAGGGCAGGGTGCGGCGGGGGGGGGGGGGGCCCGGCCCCTGTCCCTGGTGCTTGAAGAAGGGGCAGGAGGATGGGGTGGGAATCAGGAGACAGAGGACATTTTCAGTCCTTCCACGCTCCGTGTGTGTGTGACAGAGAAATCCAAGAGCCAGCCCTGCCCAGCTCCCCCTGCTCTCAAGGATGTCACATCTTGTGGCCATTTCCCATCCATGAGTTGGTGCTGGAGCAGAAAGCAGGAGGTGGAACACGCTGGGCAGTGCTCAGGGAAGGCTTTGCTCACCATGCTCCGTGAGTAAGCAGGATGGGAAGCTGCTCACTGATGCTCTCCAGGGCCGTGGTGCCCGGCTGCCCGAGGGGTGAGGGTGCCCACCCACTCACCTCCCCCAGCCTGGATTTACTGGCTCAGATCTGCACAGGTGCATGGCCCTTGGGGGGTGGGCAATGCCTGGCCCTTCCGAAAAGCCCCCAATGGGGAGGGTCTGCCTGGCTCTCACCGCGGCCGGCTCCTGGCTCCGGTGCTTGGCCGGAGGCTGCGGGCAAGCCAAGCCTGGCCTGGGGGTTCATCCCGGCCCATGGCACATCCCTGCTGTGCACAGAGGCCCTCAGCCACCCGCCCTGGCTCTGTGTCACCTTCAGCAGTGCCAAACGCAGGCAGTGAGCGAAGGAAAGGTGTGATGAGAAGGTGCTGTCCCCTTGGCTGCTTCCCGACATGGTGGGTATGTTTTTGGGGCTTTCTGGGGTGGGGTGCCCCAGCCAAGGCCATGTACAGCACAACATGGGGAGCATGTGCTTATCTTTAAGCACGTGAGCAATTCCAGCTGCAATCACAGGCTTAAAGTTAAACCACATGCTTAAGTGTTTTGCTGGGTGGGAGCCAGTGTGTTTTCCAGGGCTTTGAGAAAGCCCCCAACTCCATTACTGGAGAAGAACAGTGTCCAGGTGTGGGTCTGCAGCATCCAGCTTGGGCTGGATGGGGTGTTTTGGGCAGGGGTTTGGGCACCTGGCAGCAGTTGTTTCCTAGAAGCTTTAACTCAGTCCAGAAAGCTTGGTCTGGATCCACCTGGATCCTCCTCAGTCCTCCTCGAGTGGCAATGGCAGAGTCTTGGCAATGATGTTGGTTTTGGGTACAGTTAGATAAATGGTGAGTTAGGCCCCTGGTAAAATACCTGCCACCATGCACCCAGAGAGCTCGTCTCATCTGAAGGGGATCAGACGCTGCTGGGAAGCAGGAACAAAATATGGAATATAGAGATAAAATTAAAATTCCAGCTTAGCAAATATTCGTGTGTGTATTCGCTGGCTGGGTTATTAAATGGCAGTGGCTCATTTCACAGTTCTGAGTTCACAGAGAAACTGAAAACTGAGTCCTTAAAACTACAGAAACACATCGACTTCACTCTAACCCAGCGCAGGGACCCGCTGACGCTGACAGATATGGGACACACACAGAGCTGTCCCAGGCGTAAACATTTCCAATATTTGGAGTTGACCCCAAAACCCACTGAGCTCAGAGGGATTTTTTTTGCTGTTTTCAGTGGGCTGGGGATCAGGCTGTGGGAGCTGACGTTCAAAGCCCTTTGGAGCACTTTTCCCAGGTCTCACATTTGCTGGCAGATCTCTTGGGGACCCTTCTCCATCACCACTCCAGCTCGGGGGTTTAGAGCCCCGGCTGGTGTTCGCTCGGCTGTTGCAGTCCTGGCTTAAACCTATTGAGCATTTGCAGCTCCTTTCACCTGGGAGCAGGAACTTCAGGCAGGTGAGAGGTACGAGTGGAGGTTTCCTGCCCACCTCCCAGCATGGCCATCGCTATTTCTTGGAGATTTGATAAAGTGAAGTGTTCCCGGGCTCCTTCTGAGCAGTTGCTTTGCTGCTCTTGCTGGATGGGACCCATGTTGAGATGGAGAGCTTGGACAGAGGAGGCAGCCAAAAGGGTTTGCCTGTAAGGTCTCTCCTGCCTTTCTCTTTTACACTGACACTTGTAATTGCTGCCTCAGGAGAACGTGGCAGTGCTGTGGCACGTGGTGGTGTCTGCACCATGCTGATGGCCAGCATGGACCAGCACCCCACCGTGATCCTCCCTGATTCACAAAGAGAAACCTTGCTGGGCTTTCCTGCCTGCTGTCACGGGGGCGTTGAGCTGCTGAGGATGGTTGTTCAGAAAGCCCTCAAGGGAGGCTTTGAGCATGACTGCCTTTAGGTGTTGGGGTGGGTTTCCATCATGTGGTTTTCCTTCCTGTGCTTTGTTGTTGCATCTTTTTAAACATATTTAACCTGTGCAGTTGGATCAAACCTTGAAGATGTAACCTTTGCTGTGTGTGTGAGCTTATGTTCTTTTGGTGTGGAAAAGAGAGAGCTGCCTGGGATGTGCTGGTTTGGGCAAGAGTGTGTGTGACGGAGAACCACCGTCAGGGCAAAGCTGGCTGATGGCCATCGCTGGGATTTCATGATGAGCTACCACCATAGGAGGGTCCAGCAACTCCAGTAGCTGCTTCAGGGTGGAGGGTTCAGACCTTGTGCTGACAAAGATCTACAGGACCAGCAGCTGAATGGTGACTTCAGTGAAGAAATCCCCAAATGTAAGTGGTGGTAAAAGGGGATTCCTGATTCTACCTCACACAGCAACCTCTCCCTGACAGATGTAGTAATTCTGAGTATCTGTCCTGGTTAAACTAGCACAGTATCTGAAGGGAAAAAAAACCCACTCCTGGCATGAGCTGTAAAATCAAAAGCTGGAAAGAACCATTTAACAGTTCCTCATTCATCTCTTCCCCCTCCGCCTGGTGCAGTTTGTCAGATGAAGATGTGATCGCTCTTGTGGTTTCCTTCTGAGACATTTTTTGCACAGCAAAACAAACTCGTTATTCACAAAGGATGCCCACAGAATCATGAGTTCCTTTCTCTGTGACTTCCAGCACCAGGAGACTTTCAAGTGGCCACGCAGCTTTGCAAGGGCATTGTTCATTTAACGGAGGTTTTGGTTTGACTTTTTAAAGTTCTGTAAAATATTCAAGTCAATGCTTTTCAGTAACTCCTATAAATTTCAATAAGAGGAACAGTAAATGCCTGTTGTTTCCCTGACATTTCAATTTTTGCTATAAGAGCTGGAAGTCCCAATACGTATGGTTTGAGGTGGAGCTGTGGTCAGTGGAAATGCCCATCAATGGAGGGTGAGTCGGAGCGGGCAGCGCTGCCCGGCGCTGGCACCGTGCGGTGGGAACACACTGGGACACTCCAACCTCCCTCCACCCACCCAGCCG